TTCCACTGAGAAAGTTTTGACCTGCTTAAAGTGCCATTGCTATGGAAACCTAATGAGAAGATAATTGAATGAAACGTCTTTGCTTTCCATCCCTTTCTCACACTGATGCCAGTAAGGTCAAAACCTTGCAGGCCTCCTTTCTCTTCAGGTTCATGCAAATTTGATAAAAATACCAAAGGCCCATTTTCTTCCCTGTGCCAGCTCCAGTTAGATAAATTATCTTGTATTCAGTCAGGAGCAGTTACAAGTGTGTCAGTTTTTCATACTGATTATGTAACTGGGCCATTTCTAATGCACACGGATAACCAAATGGCTTTGCAGCAGAGCCAGCATGGGCTTTTGCACTGTTTTTTTCACCACTATGAATGTGCATAATATTTGTATACTGAAAATCCCATCTAAACCATTTTCCTCAGTGGGCTATAAATAGTCCTTGGGAAGGAATGAGAGGGGCACTATCAGTTTATTGAAGATCATAACAGTAGTGGTTTCATTATCATATGGTGCTGTGCATCTGTGGATTTTAAAGTCCATAAATGAGACGCGGCCATTTGTTAAAGAACATATACATTTAAAATACTTAGTGTTGAAACAAACCCCCATCATTCTCAGTTCCCGTGTTTGTTCTGTTTCGAGAATGATGAGCTTTTAAAAATCAACAGGCACATTCATGAAAGCAGCACATGGTGTCATTTGTTTCTCTTTCTAGTTCTGTGGAGTACCAGCACATTCTTGAGGTACGTGTGGCTGTGTCTCTATGCAAAATAAGCCCTGGTGTTATTCTCTCTGAGACTAGAATTAGTCCAGAGTTAACAGGGAAAGCTCTAGCCTAGCAGCTCAATGCAGTCTAGTTAAAACCTTTCTTAATAATCAGGTAGGCTCAGTTGGCTTGTGATGCAAACGTGTGCATTCGTTCTTCCTTTCACTCCAAATTTTGGAGACCGCTTCAGGTTTCAAGGGGATTCCTTAGGTACAACAATGTCATCACCACTGCAGCACTTTTATGGAAAGACAGATTCAAAGATCCTTTTGGATGCCGGGCTTTGACGTTGTTCATACAAAGCTCACAGGCTTCAAAAGAACAACGAGAAGTGTCCTCCAGAGGCAATCCTCAGGCTGATATCTTTGTATCTAGGATGTCTGGTCAGGCCTCTTATCTTTCAAGCAGCCTCTTATAAAAGCAGTTAATTAAGTTTTTAAAGTTGTCCTCCCTTTCTCTGCCTGCTGTTGGAAGTTTGTCCAAATAGTTAGGAAATGCTAGCTCCTCTTTTCTAATTTTTTCCAGCTTATGTCTGTTTGTTCCTGTACCTAATTTATTAATAGGCAATAAGTTAATCTTCTTGCAGCTTTCCAATTTGGCAAGCAAAACTTTTCTAACTTTCTCTTATAAGAAAAGCTGTCCAGTTCCCTGGCCATTCTAACAGGTTTTCTCTTTACAACTTCTGGTTTGAATTCATCTTTCTTGAGCATAAATAATGGTGGTTGTACGGTCATTCTCATATATATTCATTCTTTGTACTGCCATTGGAATTTCCTATCCTTATACCTTTTAAGATTAACATGTAGGTTTTTTCTCAATCATCCTTTTCCCACTGGTATCCCCAGGTACTCTGTCATTTGCAGACCTCCTGCATTTGAAAGACTGACTTTTGTGTCCATTCTGTTTTGTGCATTTGCACATTTCAGTGTTGAATGTAAACTCTTTTCTGTTAAGCCATACTTTCTAATCAAGAAGTTCCTGGTCCAGGTTCTCCACTCCAGCTGTTGCTACTAATTTTGTGTCACTGACCTCTGAGTGGCCTGATGTAATTTACTAAACTCTGCTCAAACTCATCAACTCTCTAGGGCAGTAATATTTGCTTACTCTCAAAAGTAGCTCCTTTTTTAGATTATATATTGTGCCTTCTGTTTTGTGGTGGTTTGGGAGGGGCTTTTTTGGTTTTGGGGTTTTTTTTTCTCACATATATTTGTTTCAGCATTTTGGCTCCAAGAGGCACCAAGTATCAGCATAGAGATGGTTTTGAATTTGTGAACTTAATGGATTAAAATTTTGACCCCTTCTGCTGGCCACATTCAGAGATTATGTGTTGATAAGAAAATCAACATTTTCTTTCCCTCTGGCCATAAATCTTTTTTTCTTCCTTTTTGTGTGGACATATACCCATACATTTCTTCTGTTGTATGCTGTGACAGAGTACCTTTCATGTGAAAGCTTGCTAATGAAGTTGTACATCAGACCACAACAAAAATTAAGGCCTCCATGGTGGAGTGATGGCATTTGGCTCCTTTTCAGACACACAGTGCTGAAACTTCTGCCAAGTGTCACTGCATCATTAACTTTCAGTACAAGTTATCAGTCTATGAATGGAAGAACACAAATCTTTTTCAGTGCACGTTCAAGGAAGCGCTGCAGATTTAACAGAGTAAGGGAGTGTAATTTGCAAATCAAACATATAGCAACTCCTAGGTACTCTGAAACTTTTCACCAGACATCTAGGAAGTAAAACGCTTGATTGATTTCACTGAGGATTTTTAAGCATCAGAGCTGTCTAGTGGAACTAAAGCCAGTGCCTTATCAGACACTATGTGGTAAGTTTTGTTGGCATTTCCATCTCTTCAGACCAGCTGTTAGCATTTTCAAGGTCAGCCCAAGCACAGAAGATTTCCTCTTTAAAGAATGCATGAAATGATAATTGGAATTTGCATAGTTCAGCATAGTTCTCAAATCAGCTATAAATGAGAAGGTGGATCCTACTTTCTGTGGATCCTACTCTTCTCCTGACCCACTCTAGTTCAGGCGTGTTAGAACTTTGCTCCTACTGCCTTTCCCGTTCTTTGGAGGCCAGTGTGTGATGAGTTGGTGGTCTCAGGCCAATTCCCAGCGAACAGATGTCCACATCACAAACAGTGCCGCTACACCTGCTACTTACTTGAATCATTGTTGGCAACTGTGCAAGAGAAGAAAAGGATTAAAATGGATTTGTAGGCCACAGAGCACAAGAGACTGCCTCTCCCCTTTGAGGCTGTTTTCACTAGTGAGGCAGAGTTCCGATCATTAACAGATTTCATTTTCTAAGGATGAAGACTTGGTATATTTCATGGATACTAAATTCATTTAAGATAAATAGGTGAGGTCTATGTTCATGTGCAAAACATGTAGTGGATTAATTCTCTCAGTTCCAACAGAACTTTGCTTTCATAAAAACAAAAGTCTCTGTATACAATTCCACATACTTTTTATCTGATTTACCTTTATGTAGAAAAATACTTGCTAACAACTTTACTTTGAAGTGTCTGGATGAATTCCTGGCCCTGTTCAGAGGCTTTTCTGGAAATTTGTACCCAGAAAGTATGGGGTTTGTATTTTTCTCCTGCATTTTTTATTCAGACCTCTTAAAATCTAGCCATTTGATGGCATATTATTAACTTTTCTCCTTCAAGGGTAAACTTCATCAACAAGGAGAACACTGAATGTCTCCCTCCTCCTGGTACATAAAAAATTTGAAGTTTGTTTGCCTCAATTAGTTTGCAGTTTGTGCTGGATTAGATTTCTGATCAGTCTGAGTTGGAAAGAGATTGCATTTCAGAGCTTCACCGTGCCAGACCCTCCTTGTCTAGATGAATTACTAAATCAAACTGAAACTTCACACTGTCTTGTTTCCACTTTAATGATGTCTTTGCAAATTGATGAGTATGTGTTTCATGCTCATAAGACGTTGGCCAGTAATTACTTACGTCTTCTTAACCCTGAACTGGCTTAAACTAAAATTTTCCTTTTAGTGGTTTACTGAATTGATCAGAAACTCTTCATTGCCCTCTGCTGGGGATCTGAGAGAGCTAAAGGAGCCCGTGCAGACAGAGTGTGTGGACAGCAACAAGCGCATGGCATGTGTGTATTATTATATGGCTCGTTCAAAGAACAATTTGGCTTGAGGTCTGCTTGGTACGCTGGGGTATGCGTGTTTCCATTCTGCATGGCCACAGTAGAGCCACCGCACAGTAGAGCATTGTCACATCGCGGGGCCGAGCTCTCAGCAAAAACACTGCAGTAATGCTTTGCACTTGGAGCCTCCAGCAAAGCCGTTGATGCTGGCAGGGCAGGAGTCATTTCACTGGCTTGGTGCTGTATGGTTAAATAGAAAGGCTTCAAAGAATAACGCAAGGTTTGGTAATTTCTATTAGCTCCATTTATACAGACAGAAAAAAAAGCCAATGAACCAGGGTGATGCTGTCTCATCAGAGATCCCACAATGAATTGTTGGCACTGAGTTGGAATCCATTATGGAAAACTGGTTCAATGAATATAAAGACCTAGAACAAAAGATTTATTTACTATTTTAGTGGGTTGTTTGTAAAGTCCATGTTCTGTTAAAATAAGTCTCTCCAGCTAGCTTTTGAGGAAGGGAGCATACACTGATGGGAAAGCACACAAAAGGGACTCAGGAGCAAGAAGCTGTAGTCTCCAGTCATCTGTGGTTGCACTTCATAGGGTCTGGACAAGCTTTCTTAAGCTTGTCTTGAAATCTCTACTACTTTTTCCACACAGTGGCTTCTGAAAGTGTAATGAGCACATATTTATAAAGCTTTATCAGAGAAAAAACAAGTGGGCTGAAAACTGTTACACAGCTAAACAAATGCAGCATCACAGTTCTACAGTTTCTAAGGCAGCAAAATCGTTGTTTTGCAAGCGGAAGGTGGGAAGCTATGTGAATAATTATTTTTCTTAGGGATCCCTGGACTCTTTTGCCTTAACCATAGATTTCTGTCAGTATATATTTTTCTATGCAGGTCACAAAAGTCATGTTTAAGAGGGGAACTCAGTTGCTGTGGTCAGACCAGTGCGTTCAGGTTTTGTTTCCAACTTGCTGCCCTGGGAAGAAAAGGGAAGAGAAAACAGCTCATGATGTATTGTTTGGAAACTATAATTTACTGTAACCAGACAGCTCCCATGAAATGTGAGAAGCCTGCATCAATAAGTCCATTTCTCTTTTTTGTCCTAGACTCTCCATTCATAAATCAAGCTCGGAAGAAGGCTCTGTAGGTCAGTATATTTCATTTTATTTGATACTCCTGTGGAATTCTTAAACAGCTTTTGAGTTTTGCTTGTGCTGGGATGTGAAGAGCTGAGTAAACACAATGCTGGCAGAAGTCAGCAGCATATGTGTGTGTGTGTGTGTGTGTGGAGAGCGAGTGTCAGCAACTTTAAGTTAAATGCTGGGTGTCTCAATGATCACTGAAATTACCCAAGCAGCATTGTCATGTGATAAATATGCATCTTTTGACTTGTTATATTGAATTTCAAATGTTTGCTTGTTAGATCACTGCAAGCCTGTTTGTTTGTATTCTGAAAACTACCGCCACCAGTGAATAACTGGAATTTTTGTTATTTTTGTTCATGTCATGCCAGAGTCTCTTCCTTTATTTCTGAAATATTTTGCTCATTGGAGAGGAAAAATAAAACTGGGAGGTTTTTCTTGTTTGTTTCTTTTTAATGATATTCTAGGGATATGTCCACACAGTCTAAACTTAACCAGTCTTTCAGAGTCAGCAAACCAAGCTCTAGATCATCTAGGGTGAAATCTTAAATACAATAGTCACATGCTGAAACTGAGTGGCACAGTATAAAATACATTCCTTTGAATTTTTCAAAATATGTTCCTTTGAATTTTCAAATGCTCTTTATCAGTAGCATTTCTGCCAGATCAGGCACACTATGTTCACTTGCAAGTGGCATAAACCTTATAGCATGCGCCCTGGTTAATTCAATGGAACACATATATGCCCTACCTTGGGCAAGATGCCATTTTTCTTTTTAGAGCAAATGATTATTTCTGGGTCATCAATCCATATGCAGATCTGATATTAGTGGACGTGGAGACCCAGCCCTGTACAGTCCAGGCATACAGAGAAGCAAGAGCCAGATGTAGCTGATAGTCTTATAAAATTTCTCATGCCAAGTAACAGAATGTGTGTGTGTGTGTGTGTGTGTGTGTGCATGTGTGTGTACATTTATATATAAGTAAAGTATTTCTTTTCTCTATAGATATGCACACACATACTAGAAAACCGCTTATCTTAAGTTCTGGCTTAGGCTGCATAACTGTGATTCAGTTAAAGAGAATAGACCAACAAAATACTTCAAAAACACTTCCAGACTTGACATTAGTAACTCAGAAGACATCAAAATGAATGTTAAATATTTTCTGTTTATAATTCTGAATATGTACGTTACTTGCTTATCTCAGTCCTCTGTAGCATTGTCAATTATAAAAGAATGTGTATTTCCCTGAAATGGCTATATCAGCATAGTTCTAGCACAGAATAAATAAAGAAAACCAGAAAATCTGAGATTTTTTTATTCTTGTTTCTGATTTAAAAATACAACTTAATGCTTGAAAGCTTCTCTAGCCTTTACTAACTAATGTTTCTTTCTAAAATTCTTTTTCCCTTTCCCCTCAACCTCCCTCCCCACTTTCCTTTTAGGGAAAGCAGACTGGAAAAAGAAAAATAAGTTTTTTTGGCAGAATTTCCGAAAGAACCAGAAAGGACTAATGAGGCAGACTTCAAAAGGTAAAGCTTTTTCAAGGGCGCACATCCTATCCATATAAAATAAAAAGAGCCAGCATCACAAAGGAGTAAAATGCATTTGTAATATTGTGGCGGTTGGGGGTCTGTGGCTCTGGAAGTGTCACAGATTTGGTTCATCATGACAGTGCTCAGAATGACAAGTCATATTCTTGAGACTGTAGACATGAGGCTGGGATGCCTTTAGCCTTGATTGTCAGTGATGGCACACACACAAAGTGATGCAGTTAATATCTAATTTATAAGTCATATTTGTAAATAAACAAGATGTTCTTTTTTTTTTTTCTTTTCTGGTCCTGGCTTGATAAGAGAAATACTGATCTTTTTTAATTAGAAAGGTATTTCTTCTTTCTTTGGCATTTGGTTACTTTGAGCTGTTTGTTTTAGGCTTGAATCTGGCCTGCCATTGTTGGAGAAGACACTTATAAGAAGGAGTAGTAAAAGCACCTCTGGTGACTAGTGCAAATACAGGATTCTTCTTAAACTGTCAGGTGTCTTTCTCTAGTTCTTCTCCAAAAGATGCAGCTGTGCATTGCATTAAGTATTTCTGTTCACATAGAAAATGTCTATCTGTGAGATTCTTATGTTGCAAACAGGCACTTCTCCACATCTCTATGTCTGTGTTCAGATGGATTGTGAAAGATGGCAAAGGCCCAAAAGAGATACACTTTCAGTTAAACGTGGGTCCTTGCTGGTTTTGAAGGCAAGTTCTAATTGTTTGTGCTGACATGCCATGCACACACCAAAAGGAGAGGTCCTGTAGTTGGGAGCCCCAGTACATCCCACACCATGTACCAGCTTAGTGGCCAATTAGATAATCTGGATAGATCAGAAGACATGGCCAGTCCACAGCAGAGAGCTGCAAGGGCCCAGTATGCCATTCCTGAAAAGGCTTCCCATCTGCTCTGGCAGCTGACTACAGTATTCCTCAGGGCGGAGTGCAGGACTTTTCTGACATTAGCACTTTCTCTTTTGATTCTTGTCTTTCAGGGTCAATAACCATGTGATGATGGTCACATTTTATTTCTATTTGTCGTGCTCCCTTGCTTTCAGTGTCAAAGTAGACTTAGGTTTTTTTGTCCCAAATTACTTCCTTTTATTGCTCAGTTACGTCGAAATCATTCCGTTCTTTGAAATCATACTAGGAGCCTGCTCTGTTGAGGGTCTGTTTCTGGCCAGCCAGATCCACATGGCAACCAGATTTCAGAGCACTGGGTAAAATCCAGTTTCAATGTACCCTGCTCTGTGCATGAACTCCTACACGTGCTCAATATATTTGTGCTTTTTCCTGCAGGAGAGGATGTAGGGTATGTGGCCAGTGAGATCACAATGAGTGATGAGGAACGGATCCAACTGATGATGATGGTCAAAGAGAAGATGATCACCATCGAGGAAGCACTTGCTAGGGTATGATATGTACATACTTGAATCTCCTTGAGAAACTTGCTTTAGGATGTAGGATATATCAATTTGTAGTTTTACTTTGTTCAGAAAACATAGGAGAAGGTGAAGAAAGGCTGCCTATTTGCCCCATTGTACTAGGTAACATAAATTAGATAGCAATTCCTTTGTTTGTTGGGAAAAAATAGATATCCGATGTATGATATATTAATAGAGTCCTAAAAGCATTTGATTCTCTCCGTTGACAATAAAGGGTGCTAATCAGAGAAAAGCTCAAGTGTAGACATTTTCATTGCGGCTGTCTAAAGTAAGGGAGAGGTATCTCACTTGAAGTCTTTCTTTATCAAGTATGTTCATAGGTTTGTGTAAGTACTAATAGGAATGCTTCAGGTTTTGCTGAGTTTCAGTGCAACTTTTGAATTTGTACCCTTGTGTAAAACACTGTGATGGAACACAGGGTATTCCTCATGGTTTCCATTAGAGAAAATGTGATTTAGATCGGTTGGCAGTCAGATAAATATTTTTACTGACATACTACATCTTGAAATAGATTAGCCTAGAATATAAAATTATGTTATTGGCTGAAGAAAGTATTGCTTTGCTAGAAATTATATAATGAAAAAATGCAAAATTTTTAAATTATCGAGTGGCATTATTGGAAATTCTTTTACTTCTCTGCTCTTAAAATTTTGGGGGGAGAGGGCTGTACTTAATCTGATGGTTTGTATGTGGACTGTTACTGTTTCCCTCTAGTGGTCTGAGCTACTAACAACAGCTTTTTTTTTTTTTCAATACCAGTTCTTGAGGGTCATTTCAACACTTTAACTCCAGTAGGATTGGTGTTTTGTTTGAAGTCTTTTATTGAGAAACAGGGAAGATGAGGGGATTTTTTGGTTGGTTGGTTGGAGTTTTTTTAAATTATAAAGGATAGTTCCTAGCCTTTATTGCAGATCATTTTCTTTATGAAGGAAATTGGCAGATCATTGTGATTTAGTCTGTTCACTGTAAACTGTGCCTCTGAGATGGGGATGTGTAATTTATGTTTTACCAATGACAGTTCATCAAATTTCAGTATTCACAGATCTTTTCCTTCTAAGAAAAAAAAAAAAAAACCACTGATTTTTAAAACTTCTGATTCTAGGACAATTTATTTTGAATAAGTGAGACCAGCAGTGCAAAAGTTCAGATTTTCCCAGTTGCACAGTGATACAGGGGGAAAAATAAAATTACATTAACCCTTGCTATTTAATGAAGATTGATATCTTCTTATCACTGGAAATTGTTCTCTCTATCTTTTCAAATTTCAGCTGAAGGAGTATGAAGCCCAGCACAGGCAATCAAGTAATGTAGATCCTACAGAATGGCCTGATGGTTCTTACTCAACATTTGATGGCTCTTCCAATTGTAATGTAAGTACCTGTCATTCTGATATAGCTCCCCAGTATCATTTAATATTTAAATTCTTTCACTGAAGCACAGAAATGTCCTTATTTACCTGGTGATTTCCTTAATAGCAAATGTATTGCTGACCTAGTGATGCTGTGTTCTTTCTGCAGAAAATCTTATTGTATAATCTCTCTCTTTTCATTTTTTTTTTTAAATCTGGCTCTTTGTCACTGAGCTTTTGAAGCACAAGACAAAAATCCCCTTGTTACAAAATGCACAGAGAAGGGGGTTTAGGTTGTTTAGAGCAAAGTTTCACTTTGCTGATTCACAAGTAGAATTTCTCAGGCTTTTCTTGCCGTTGTTGATACGTTCTGTATGAGGGTCTGACTAAGTCCTAGCTGCCTGCTACCTTCAAGCACTTCTATCTCTGCATTTGGAAAGTCACAGCCCAGAGTTTGCAGCTTTTGCCAGACCCATAAGAAGTAAGGCAGCTTTCCTCCCTTTTCTTTTTACTTCTGAGCTGTGTAGCTTCTCTATGGGCACCAGGCAGTCTCTGTGTCATGCCATACTGAATTAATTAATTTTTCCTTCCAGATATCTTCATTTTCACTGAGTAGTTTATTCCACTTCATTTCTCTAATTGAAAGTTCACAGATAAATCTCAGAGAAGAACACATTCAGCTGTCAAATTCAAGCTCCATGTAACCCATATAATTGAATCATAAGCTTTTGAGACCATTGATTGATTTATTTATTTTATTGTCAATGGAATTTCCTGCTTACTGCAACCGACTGTTGGCTTCTCCTTCCTAAAAGAAAAAAGGAATGCTATATCATTTTATGAGATGTTTAACATATTTGGTGGTAGAGAAAGATTTTCTTGTTTATATTCAAGAAAGTACACCCATCTCTAGTTAGATTGGAGCAGAGGGGAATTGATGTTGCCTTATATAAGCTATGTTCTGATATATCAAAAATATGCAAAGAATGGAGAAGGAAGGATCCTGGCTCTTCTGGACTGATTGTTTAGCCAGCTGAAAGATGTCTTGATCTTTTCCTCATTAGTATTTGTAACCTGAACTTTCCCTTCTTGAGGACCTTGCCCAAGGTACTTATAGCATAAAATCCTCAAACTCTAATTTACCATGGTCACATCTCAGAAGGATACTGATTTAAGTGGTCTATACTTCTGATTAAAGTGGTTTATACTTGTGTTGAAGTTACGGAAAGCTGTGTATATCTCTGAGGACCAAACATGATTCGGTATGTCCTCCTTAATGGAATGAGAATCTTTGCGCTTTGAACCAAGAGCTCTTTTGCCTCTCTCTGCTCTTCTGGTAGGATTTGAACCATCTTACCATCTTCCTGTTAACTTCAATGGGGAATCTCTATTCAGTCTTTGTAGATACCTTTCAAGATTTCTACCCTTGCTCCTGATTTTTGTCATGGTTACCCTTAACAGAAGCTGTGAAACTGCTTGCCTTCAAGAGAAAAGCAGATCATCTGCAGAAATGAGACTTCATGTTAGAGCAAAATTCAGCCTGACATCTTTTTTTGTGGACAAGAATGAAAGTAGGGTTAACTGGAGTGAAAGACTTTGGGCTGTAATTGACACACAAGAGGGAAAAACAAACGAAAGTATCAGATATGTCTAGAAATAGGGTGTGTGTTCACGCAGACTTTTTTGCCTAAGGACATCTCTAATCTGAAATTACCAGCTTTTGAGACAAGCAAAGATGATTCTGTTTTCAAGCCCTTTCTTTGCCAAATGGTTTGAGTTTCAGTGCCATTTTTGTGATTTGTACTCCATGAATTCAGAATCTCAGAATTACCCCACTCATTTTATATAGGTCATGAAGCAAAGATGGTTTTCCATATATTAAAAGGATACTGTTAGGCAGCCTGCTGCCTTATAACCTCAAAAGGCAATTGGAAATACAAGTCACTGAAATGAACATTTCTTGTTTGAATTCAAAGTTCTTGGGCAATGGGTCTTCTGGTTGTTTGCCTTTTTTTTTTAAAATTTATTTTCTTTTCTGTTGCATGGCCAAATTGTTACTAGGCAGTTTTTAATGGAACAATGTGATCATAGTTGATAATTTTGTAAACAAACAAAAACAAGTTAGAATCTAAGCAATGAGAGAATCAAAAAATGAAAGCAGATTGTCTGGAGTGTTTCAAGGTTTTAAGTACTCCTTTGCTTTCAAGTCAGCTCTGCCCACAGCATAAGAACAGCCCCCTACAAAATAGTATCTGAAGGGTATATATCATTAGTTTTCCTTTTTAGGAAAAAAACACTTTTAAAAGAAAACTTTTATAGCTATTATGTGTTTATAACTAACATAACTCATGTTGATTTAAAGATTTTCATTTTAAAGATTGATTTGAGGATTCTCTTTTCCAGGTTCTCCTCTTTTAAATTACTGTATCAGGAAATGGAAACTTGTGTTTCATATCCTTAACAAAACTGAACCCTAATGATGAAACACAAAGGGTTCAGAAGTAAAAGGGTCATCATCTCAGTATCCCCAGGGAGGCAGCGCCATGTTATTGCTGTGCTGTTAATTGTGTGTCGTGTTTGTTTGTTCTTAAGAAACAAACAAACAAATAAAGGTCTTGCCAAGTCAGTAGGTGACTTGGTTCTTTGCCACTTTAGAGCAGTTTGTAGCTTTCAGTCTCACGACTGTGGTCCCCTTGTTTCTCAACAAAGTATGTGTGTTATTTATTTGCTAATGTGGGAATGCAGTTGAAACTGTTTTTATTTTTAGTCAGAAGTATCAAAGGTCTAAAATGCCTCATCATTTTCTTAAAAATTATTTCTGAATATTTATGTTTCATCTCTGTTGGAATGAAGGCTGTTCACAGTAAAACTAGACAGGCTTTCATTGCCTCGTGCCAAGCATTGGGATGTAAAGCAGGTGCAGATTACAAATGGATCCCTTTCTGGATTTTAGATAAGGCCCTATTTGTCCTCAGGAGTCAGAAAGTCCAGGGAAAGAGAGGATTTCAAAATTGTATCACATTCTTTCTTTACACTGAGGTGCCTTTTATGCTTCTTAAAGATAGAAGCACATTTGATGACTTTTGGGGGCTGAAATTCTCAGTTCATCTAAAATAGGGCTGCTTCATCCCCAGAACCCTGCTGGTATGGCTCCAGCCCAGCTTGAAGGACCAGCATTAGGAGAAGTCAGTATAAATCCTTTCCTGTGCCCTCTGCTAAAAGACTAATTGTACCCATTGCTATATTTCATGTGGGAGTGGGGGAAAGGAGAGAAGCAGGAGGGAGGTTGTGATAGAAGTGTGTATCATACATGTGCTGCCACTGACACAAACCACTAATTAACTTCACTGACAGTTTCTGTAGAAGCAAGTTGAATGAAGTTGTAATTATCTCTGGACTAAACTGGTTAGTTGGTCTCATCTGGCTTCTGGTTTTTGGTTTTGATCAGCAGATAATGCTCAGCCATCCAGAGCTCATTAACGTGAGCTTCCGTGTAGCATAGCTGGCCTTCACCTGAAAGGTGACGCAGTGAGCTGTGCCGTGCTTGTCTGACACCACCCCACCTACTGGATGTGCCACAAGCAGCCTCAGGAGAGAGGCCATCAAATCTGTGAGTGCAGAGAACAAAACCAGCATCTCCCTCCAACAATACAGCCCGCGGATGGGCAGTGCTGTTTTAGTGTCCCAACACCTCTTTTCCCAGGACTGTTATACTACCAGTAGGAAACTGGCACCTCATTTGTTTTCTCTGAGCAGAGTGGAAGCAGTGATGCAGACCTGGAAGCATGCTGTGCATATCTGTTATCTGCCGTGAGGCCGATGCTGGGGAAAATTCCCCCTTACGTTGCCTCTCTTTTCCATCTTCTATTGATCCATTTTTTAAGAGATGATGGTGCAACAAGTCCACACAGCAACACCTCTAGCTGGACTGAGATGATCACTTGTTGCTCCTGTTCTTGCTATTATTTCCTGAAGACTTTTTTTTTTTACCAAGTGGTTAAATGGGACTAAAAGTTGAAAGGGTGTGCAGAACTGGGTTTATGTCTGCCTCAAGTGTCAAAGACAGAGTAACAGATGATAATGGACTTTGAGTTGTACTCTTTTCAATCCAAGAGATGCTGAAGCTGTTGAACCAGGATTGTAGCCGTGGTACAATCCTGACTCTGACAAAATACTAAGTCTAATAGCATTATCTCTGACTCACAGTAGTCATTACTGTTCTGTTTTGTAAGTGTGAAGAATAAGAAGAAAAGAAATAATTGCAGTATAACTTCCATAGCATGCATTACCTCAGGAGTAAATCTAAGTGTAATTACAGCAAATCCACGTTATTCAGGCTTATACTGTATTTCAGTGGTTTAGTGGTTCATTTGTTAACATTATTACTGCTCGTAATTCAGGACTGTTAATGTAAACAGGAAAAACCCCTTCTTTTGGTATAGTCAGTTAAATTTGTTAGAACTAAGTTCAAAGTTGATGCATATTGGGAATCAGCATTGAGTATCAATGGAGACTGGGCTATGATGAGGTTTGTTTTACATGAAACAGTAGTGTTTAGTTTGAAGCCGTGGATATTTTAGGCATTTTGAAAGTCTAGTGTTACCCCCGTTTTTGCTGTTATCCCAGGACTTACCATTTTTCATAGGCCTTCTTTTCCATGAAAGGCTAAATAGTGGAAGAGGATAGTTTTCTGGTTTTGTTCTTCTTGGAGAGCTTGTTGCCTGCCTCCAGGCCCTGCATATTCTTTCAAGTAACAGAGGGGAGTTGCTGCTGAGGATGGCTATGAATGAATGCAGAGCTTTCATCTTTGCTCCAAAGAATCTAGTGACCCGATTTCTGTTAAGACTTCTGAAAGGCACTGATGTGCCTCATTTTATTGGATGGTGTATTTATTATTACTGCACAAATTCCTATAATACTGTCAGTGCTTAGTAACAGTTATGATGAAGAAAGAACCTATAGTAAGACATGGCTTCAGAATGCTAGTGCTAAATTCCCACACTGTGTGCCTGCCTTGGGAAC